CACCGTGCAGTAGTGTTGTCAAACACCTGCAGATGTTGTCAGTGACACCTTTTAGTAGTGTTTGTCAGTAACACCGTGTAGTAGTGTTGTCAGTAACACCGTGCAGTAGTGTTGTCAGTAACACCGTGCAGTAGTGTTGTCAGTAACACCGTGTAGTAGTGTTGTCAGTAAACACCCGAAAGTGGTTTTGTCAGTAACCACCCTGAATAGTGTTGTCAGTAACACCCTGTAGTAGTTTTTGTCAGAAACCCACCGTGCATAGTTTTTGTCAATGACACCACAGTATGTTTGTCAGTAAAAACCACCCTGTAGTAGTGTTGTCAGTAACACCCTGTAGTAGTGTTGTCAGTAACACCGTGCAGTATGTTGCCCAGTCACCACTCATTAGGGGTTTGTCAGTAACACCCGTAGTAGTTTTTGTCAGTAACACCCTGCAGTAGTGTTGTCAGTAACACCCTGCTGTAGTGTTGTCAGTAACACCCTGCAGTAGTGTTGTCAGTAACACCCTGCTGTAGTGTTGTCAGTAACACCCTGCAGTAGTGTTGTCAGTAACACCCTGCATTAGTGTTGTCAGTAACACCCTGCAGTAGTGTTGTCAGTAACACCCTATAGTAGTGTTGGCAGTAACACACTGTAGTAGTGTTGGCAGTAACACCTTGCAGTAGTGTTGTCAGTAACACCCTGCAGTATTGTCAGTAACAACCTGCAGTAGTGTTGTCAGTGACACCCTGTAGTAGTGTTGTCAGTAACACCGTGCAGTAGTGTTGTCAGTGACACCCTGAAGGTAGTGTTGTCAGAAAACACCCTGTAGTAGTGTTGTCAGTAACACCGTGCAGTAGTGTTGTCAATGACACCCTACAGTAGTGTTGTCAGTAACACCCTGTAGTAGTGTTGTCAGTAACACCCTGTAGTAGTGTTGTCAGTAACACCGTGCAGTAGTGTTGTCAGTGACACCCTGCATTAGTGTTGTCAGTAACACCCTGTAGTAGTGTTGTCAGTAACACCGTGCAGTAGTGTTGTCAGTAACGCCCTGTAGTAGTGTTGTCAGTAACACCGTGTAGTAGTGTTGTCAGTAACACCCTGTAGTAGTGTTGTCAGTAACACCGTGCAGTAGTGTTGTCAGTAACACCTTGTAGTAGTGTTGCCAGTAACACCCTGTAGTAGTGTTGTCAGTAACACCCTGTAGTAGTGTTGGCATAACACCCTGTAGTTTTTGTCAGTAACACCGTGCAGTATGTTGTCAGTAACACCCTGTAGTAGTTTGTCAGTAACCCCCCTGTATAGTGTTTTTCAGTAACACGTGCAGTAGTGTTTGTCATAACACCCTGGTAGAAGTGTTGTCAGTAACCCGTGCAGTAGTGTTGTCAGCAAACACCCTGCATATTTGTTGTCAGTAAACTCTGTAGTAGTGTTGTCATACACCCTGCAGTAGTGTTGTCAGTAACACCCTGTAGTAGTGTTGTCAGTAACACCCTGTAGTATTGTCAGTAAAACCGTCAGTAGTGTTGTAAAGTAACACCATGTAGTAGTGTTGGCAGTAACATCGTGCAGTAGTGTTGTCAGTAACACCCTGCAGTAGTGTTGTCAGTAACCCCCTGTAGTAGTGTTTCAGTAAAAACCCTGCAAAAGGGTTTTTCCCAGAAACCCCCCTGCAGTAGTGTTGTCAGTAACACCCTCCCAGTAGTTGTCAGTAACACCGTGCAGTATGTTGTCATAACACCGTGCAGTATGTTGTCAGTAACACCCTTAGTAGTGTTGTCAGTAACACCCTGCAGTAGTGTTGTCAGTAACACCCTGCAGTAGTGTTGTCAGTAACACCCTGTAGTAGTGTTGTCAGTAACACCCTGCAGTAGTGTTGTCATAACACTCGTAGTAGTTTTGGGCATAACACCCTGCAGTAGTGTTGTCAGTAACACTCTGTAGTAGTGTTGTCAGTAACACCCTGCAGTAGTGTTGTCAGTAACACCCTGTAGTAGTGTTGGCAGTAACACCCTGCAGTAGTGTTGTCAGTAACACCCTGTAGTAGTGTTGTCAGTAACACCCTGTAGTAGTGTTGGCAGTAACACCGTGTAGTAGTGTTGTCAGTAACACCCTGTAGTAGTGTTGTCAGTAACACCGTGTAGTAGTGTTGTCAGTAACACCCTGTAGTAGTGTTGTCATAACACCGTCAGTAGTTTGTCAGTAACCCCCTTTCAGTAGTGTTGTCAGTAACACCGTGCAGTAGTGTTGTCAGTAACACTCTGTAGTAGTGTTGTCAGTAACACCGTGCAGTAGTGTTGTCAGTAACACCGTGCAGTAGTGTTGTCAGTAACACCCTGCAGTAGTTTTTGTCAGAACACCGTGCAGTAGTGTTGTCAGTAACACCGTGAAAGTAGTGTTGTCATAACACCGTGCAGTAGTGTTGCAGTAAACCACCGTTAGTAGTGTTGTCAGTAACACCGTGTAGTAAGTGTTGTCAGTAACACCGGGGGCCAGTAGGTGTTGTCAGTAACACCCTGCAGTAGTGTTGTCAGTAACACCGTGTAGTATGTTTGTCAGAAAACACCGTCAGTAGTGTTGTCAGTAACACCGTGTAGTAGTGTTGTCAGTAACACCGTGCAGTAGTGTTGTCAGTAACACCGTGTAGTAGTGTTGTCAGTAACACCGTGCAGTAGTGTTGTCAGTAACACCGTGCAGTATTGTCAATAACACCGTGTAGTAGTGTTGTCAGTAACACCGTGCAGTAGTGTTGTCAGTAACACCGTGCAGTAGTGTTGTCAGTGACCCCCGTGTAGTAGTGTTGTCAGAAACCCACCGTGTAGTAGTGTTGTCAGTAACACCGTGCAGTAGTGTTGTCAGTAACACCGTGCAGTAGTGTTGTCAGTAACACCGTGTAGTAGTGTTGTCAGTAACACCGTGTAGTAGTGTTGTCAGTAACACCGTGCAGTAGTGTTGTCAGTGACACCATCAAGCAATTTTATGGCATAAAATTTTTATTAGTCCCTTTATCAGTCTAGTTGTTATCTTTGTTCACTTTCTTTTATTCTCACTTCTTGCTCTTTAACATTCTGCCTGAGCGACTTTCACTCCCTCTTTCTATATGTCTCTCTCTCAATCACTTCACATGTTTTCTGGGTCTCCCAGAACCTGCCAGCTCTACCACCTCTTATTCTGCACCTTTGCAAAGGCTCGCAGGTAAATGCACATTATTCTGATACAGATCTTCCTCCCTGCTGAAGAATATGCGCACTTTGGACAGCTACTATTGTGATAAGCAGAGGGTTCGGTTCCTTTTTCTTTTCCCCACCAGCTCACATAAAATTATTATATTCCACTATTCTCTGAAAAGTTATAGTATATATATATATATATATATATATATATATATATATATATATATATATATATATATATATATATATATATATATATGTCGTGCCGAATGGGCAGAACTTGCGATCTTGGCTTAAATAGCAACGCTCATCTTGCCATATAGGACAAGCGAAAATTTGTGTATGCAATAATTTCGCCAAAATTATTCTGAACCTAACGAAAAAAATATATTTCACTGTGTTTGTTTAGTATTAAATTATTGTAAACAAATCTAAAATATATTTAGTTGGGTTAGGCTAAAATAAATTGATCTTGTTTTAATAAGGTTAGGTAAGTTTTCTAAGACTCTTTTGGTTCAAAATTATAAATTTTTACATTAACATTAATGAAAAATATATATATTTAAACGTATAAGAGAAATTTTTAGAAAGGACTTAATTTTAAATTAGTTCTTGCTAATTGACCAGTTTTACATATTCGGCACGACATTTTATATATATATATTATATATTCGGGAACCACTCACGCTGCTATCCTTCGAGAAAACTTCCCCTCATTTCTCTTGTTGCTACCTTTGCAAAATGGCACAGCTCCTGATGACGCACTGAGAAGTGTGAAAGTACTTGAGCTAAAGCTTCCCCCCCCCATCCCCGTGACTTGTCTTGCATTGTTAAGATTGCTTGTCTGCGATTGTTTGTACGTATATATTTAAACCTGTGTGTTAGACTGGTAGCTAGGAACTTAGAGCAAAATCATTGGTTCATGTAGTTAAATGTAAATGTGATACAAAATAAACAAAGCAGCACCATAATATTAAGCAGTAGCTACCAACACATATCTCAGCGTCCACCACCTCCCCACACTTGGTTTTACTCCGGTGGTGACCGCCGCTCCTCCTGCCTCATCCGGATGTGTGCGATCATCGATAGCCTTTTGATATGGGGGCGAAAAGACGTCAGGCAACATCTGGCTGTGTGGTTGAGACGGTAGTGTGGGAGTAGCATGTGGCAGGGCAGGCATGTGCGTGTCAAGGCGGGCGTGGGAGAGGCATTTGACACGGCAGGAGTTAGTGTGATAGGGTAGGCGTGGGAGAGACGTAAGGGACTACAGGCATTTTAGACTATCTAATTCGCATACTGCCGACAATAGCGAAGACAAGACACACACGTTGTAGAACAAGGTTCCATTGATAAAACGTTGTCCCAACAATCGCTTTTGTTGTAAGATTGTGTAGAGGGTGTAGTGGGGATGAAAAGTGGGGCCTAAAATTAGTGATTGCTGATAGGATCCTTAGCTCCTAATTATGAGGCTGCTGGTCCTTTGGAGGTGGAAAGCAAGATTTAGTTCTTAAACACGACTTGGAGCGTAGGTTGCATATTGCCAGTCAAGAGCTTCATCCAACAAGCTTGAATTAGGTAGTGGCAGGAATAAGAATTGTTTATTGCTATAATTCCAGTGTTATTTTTTATTTCTTTTTATATCAAGACTTAACAAATGTTTTTTTTCGTAATGTTAGGAAAATGTTTTAAGTGTATGTTACTTATTTGGATAAATGTAAATTAAATATTCATTTAAATAAAAGGGTAAATACAATAGTCATAATAATTTAAACTCCTTAAGATACCATCAGAAAATATCATTGAGTGTCACCTAACTGACCCTTATAACCTATCTCTCTCTCTTTTCAGATAATATCTAAAATCTCGAGGAAGAGGATCCTGTTACACAAGGTGCAGTACATGAAAATTACACCGTTCAGATGGAAGGATAATCAAGTTCCTTCCGTGACCTTCGCCCTGAGGCTAATTTTGTGAGACGAGGAGTAACTTGGCCAAATGTGACTGCAGGATTAAGTTGCAAGTAGCTGCTGCTGGTAGTATTGGTCATCTCTACTGTGTTGACTGTCCCTGCGTCTCACACCCGCACCTACTCCTCACTGGCGTCTCACACCCGCACCTACTCCTCACTGGCGTCTCACACCCGCACCTACTCCTCACTGGCGTCTCACACCCGCTCCTCCCCTCACTGGCGTCTCACACCCGCACCTACTCCTCACTGGCGTCTCACACCCGCCTCCTCCTCACTGGCGTCTCACACCCGCACCTACTCCTCACTGGCGTCTCACACCCGCACCTCCCCCTCACTGGCGTCTCACAGCCGCTCCTCCTCCTCACTGGCGTCTCACACCCGCACCTCCTCCTGGACTCTCACTGGACTCTCATATATCACCATCTAATTGCACGGCTCATTTAATATTCTTGAGCATCTATACAACATTAAAGACTCGTATTTATGACCACTGCTTCACAAAACTTGATAGCTCTTTATTAGCCAGTGAGAGACAAAATGTGTACCCCGAGAGACTAACGTCCTAGCAGAAATGCTGAACATTAAAGGAAGACCTTACAAGATGGAATGGTGGATGAAGGTGACGTTGTTGACGGCACTACTGGCTGCTCTCCCTGTCCTGGCTAAGGTAAGTACTTGACTTCTGATGTGTTTATGTATGTGTTCTACCCAGGCTGTTGGTGGCTTCCATCTGTCACGGGAGACCTCCCTGATGCTGCTTAATAATAATAATAATAATAATGACAATAACAGTAGTAAAATCTGACATTCCTGCAACGTGTTCAGAAATGGCACAGTGAATGAAGAGGGCGCTGCAAAAACTCCTCTTTTCTTGGGCATAGAAATATAGGTTGATTTTCATGACATACAAGGATCGTGGCGTCGAGAGCAACGCAGCAAACACCAGTGGAGCAAAGTGATATATGGACCTTATGGGACCCCGGCCTCTGCCACCCCGACTAGTTAAACCATTATTAGTTAGTTAAAGATTAGCCGGTATTCTCCCGGCCCGGGCCTTTTCCAAGTGGTGGCCCGGCCTTGGCTCCCTCTTTAGGGAGTGTCTGAGACCTAAGTCTCCCATGGGAGGAGGCACAAGTACCTCCTCATCTTTGGGACCAACTGTCCCCAGGCCTAGCCACAAGCTAGGCCTCTCTGGTCTGCCATCCCCGCCACAAGGAGGCAAATGGGAATGACAGTCTTATGAGCTAAAGGCTCGGGCTCAGGCACCTACCCTACCCTAGAAGGGTTAGGCATGGTGTCGATGAAAAACCATTATTAATGTGGGAACCTTCATCAGTATTTTATAAATTATTATTTTCATTATTATGATTATTATTGTTATTATCATTACCACTAACTACTATTACTACTACTGTACATAATAAAGATATTCACTGCATCAAAGTATTATTGAAGTGAAAACTATGAGGTAAGCAATATGGCGACTATGAAGAAAAAATAGTGTTTGGGAATATTTAAAAAATAAAAGATATAACCTAAAAATTAGGAAAACGGGGGAGGTAAAAAAGAAAACCGTGGAGAGGAAACGCAAAATAAGATAAAATAATACACTGAATTATTGTTTATCAGGCAATGTTGCTGAGAATAAGAAGCAGTTTGGTGAGAAATAAATAAGATGAGAAAGTCCGGGGAGCAAAAATGGGCTTGGCAGTTAATAGTGAAAGTGGTGAGATGTAAAATTGGATGGCGGAGAAATTGGAAAGATCGAGAGAATATTTTCAGTTGTTGAATGTGGATAATAAAAGCGAGACGGGGATTTTATTCATGAGGTGTGAGGAGTTGACTCTTTTAGGAGGTGTAAGGAGGAGTTGACTCTGTTAGGAGGCGTGAGGTGAGAGGTGGTGAGTATTAAGGAAGTGTGTGAGTTTAGAAGAATGAGACTCAGAGGTACGTAGGAGAGAAATATCTTAACGGTGACTTAAGACTGGAAGAGGTGATGTCCCCATGGTAATTGAGTGTGTTTATAGATGCGGTCCGTACAAGTACCGAGATGTACTTACTTTAAAGATAATGAAAAATGATACAAAATGGGAATTATCCCACTTTTCTCGCTAACATCCCGCTGCTTTTCGGAGATCCAGAAGTGTCGAGAGATTTTAACTAGAAATATTAGGAAGCTCATATTAATAGCATTACGAAAGTGAGCCTAAACAAACTCTACAGTAGAAATGCGGATTAATGAAGGTTTAGAAGCGAACCAAGGATGATCCTCATCTCACTATCCCTTTCATCAATGTGCTGAGATATCTGCTCCCTCTTCCTGTCTGTCCCATACTTGGTGGAAGGAGGATCAAGACTTTACCACTCCATGTGCTACATGACCTACACGGTTTAGCATTTTATGAGTCGTGGTTGTTTATGATCAACTGCATCGTGTTCCTGGGATACGAATACCAATACTTTTAGACCATTGCTACTCGCTTGTTATTATTGCGAATAACTGGAGAGTAAGCGTCATACAACGCCTGAGATAATGGGAAGCAAACAGGCTCTAATCAAAGAAAGGACAGTCAGGTCCAAATCCTTTGATCAAGGACCAGTCACAGATGCCAAGCAACATCCATTTGAGGGGGCGCTACTCGCTTGCAATCTGCAAGCAGTATTATCCTCCTGTATACAAAACATCAGCGGGTTTATGCCGTGGCTTCACAACACACAAGTCAGAAAGACAGTTAAGGGACTTCCGTGTAGCATAAATGCTTCTGGCTGTCCACCCTCACTACAATGTTGAATGTATTTACGTCAGTGGAACTTACGAGTACTTATTCTATGTTAGCAACATTAACAACATCCACACCTGCGGCGCAGTGGAATATTAGTGTCCTCATGTGACTCATGTTTGCACTCTCTAGCATACAAACAAGACAGTGCTATGTATGAAGATATGACTGGGTATGAAGACATATAACGCTCAGTGAGAATTTATTGAGGACATTTCGCATTATTAAGACTAGATAATGCTCAATCATGGGCGAAATGAGGTCTGGTATAAAGATTTGACGTTTTCTTGATCCGTTCACTTAAGATATGACTTTTGTTTTATGTGTCACCCGTTTATGATTCTTAGGTCACTGTTTGTTAGTGGCAGGCTTGTGGCAGTCGTGTCAAAAGCCAGGTAGTATATACATCTAGGCCACTCTTACAGGAATATGTAAATTCAAACATTTAATAATTAACAATCTGAATCGAATCCCGGTCCATAAGACTGGACCAGAGGTTGACAGGCGGAATCAAGGAGCTTAAGCTCACGCATACGCACGCACACACATACATACATACACACACAAAGAGCACCATTGCAAGTAGGCCCGTAAAATACTGACATGCTGTCCCTCTATGCAGATTGTGTGTGTAATGTTGAGGCGAGTGTCACTATGATAATATCATTAATCAAAGTGTTTGTCCAACAGCGGGTCCGAGATAGACTCTCCCTTAAGTCATAACACACAGGTCAAATACAAGGGGGAGGGTACCACTAGTGAACACACAGACGGACAGACACTGACGCTGATCACTAAATATTCACTGACTGAACCACAAAACAAAGGGCAAAATTCTTGCAGGTCTTTTTGACCTGGTCTGGGTATACCTCGCCCGTTATACCAATATACTTAATATTTACCTCAACCACTGTCATCTATCATGCTTTCTTTATCACGTTATGGCATATACAGAACTTTCATATATAAACACATACAAATTTACGCATGATATATATTATGTATATCATATTTTAACAAATTGGCCGTCTTCCACCAAGGCAGGGTGGCCCGTAAAAGAAAACCTTTCACCATCATTCACTCCATCACTGTCTTGTCAGAGGTGCGCTTACACTACAGTTATAAAACTGCAACATTAACACCTCTCCTTCAGAGTGCAGACACTGTACTTCCCATCTCCAGGACGCAAGTCCTAGCCTGCCGGTTTCCCTGAATCCCTTCATAAATATCACCTTGCTCACTCTCTAACACCACGTTAAGTTCTAAAAATAATTTGTCTACATTCGCGCCTATCTAACATGCTCACGCATGCCTGCTGGAAGTCCAAGCCCCTCGCACACAAAACCTCCCTTACTCCCTCCCTCCAACCTTTCCTATGCCGACCCCTATCCCGCCTTCCCTCCACTACAGATTTATACACTCTCGAAGTCATTCTATTTTGTTCCATCCTTTCTACATGATCGAAACACTTCAACAACTCCTCTTCAACCCTCTGGATAATAGTTTTGGTAATCCCGCACATCCTCCTAATTTCCAAGCTACGAATTCTCTGCATTATATTCACACCACACATTGCCCTCAGACATGACATCTCCACTGCCTCCAGCCTTCTCCTTGTTGCAACATTCACCACCCATGCTTCATACTCATATAAGAGCGTTGGTATAACTATACTCTCATACATTCCCCTCTTTGTTTCTATGGATAAAGTTCTTTGTCTCCACAGACTCCTCAGTGCACCGCTCATCAATTCTATGATTCACCTCATCTTTCATAGACCATCTGCTGACACGTCCACTCCTAAATATCTGAATACATTCACCTCTTCCATACTCTCTCCCTCCAATCTGATATCCAATCTTTCGTTACCTAATTTTTTTACCCTCATCACCTTACTCTTTCCTACATTCGCTTTTAATTTTCTTCTTTTACATACCCTACCAAACTCATCCTCCAACCTCTGCAACTTTCTTCAGAATCTCCCAAAAGCACAGTGTCATCAGCAAAGAGCAACTGTGACAACTCCCACTTTGTATTAGATTTTTCATCTTTTAACCTCACTCCTCTTACCAATGCCCGAGCATTCACTTCTCTTACAACTTCATCTATAAATATATTGAACAGCCATGATATTACATATCCTTGTCTAAGGCCTACTTTTACTGGGAGATAATCTCCCTCTCTCCTACATACTCTAACCTAAGCCTATCCTCGTAAAAACTCTTCACTGCTTTCAGTAACCTGCCTCCTATTCCATACATCTACACCATCTGCCACATTGCCCCCCTATCCACCCTGTCATGAGCCTTTTTCAAATCCATAAATGCCACAAAAACCTCTTTACCCTTATCTAAACACCGTTCACCTATATGTTTCACTGTAAACGCTTGGTCCACACACCCCCTACCTTTCCTAAAGCCTCCTTGTTCAAAGAAGGCTTTATATATATATATATGCAGGACAAGCCACGGAAAGTTGGAAATCTTTAGCTCATATAGTCATATAGTGTCTGAGAATGAGAGACAATCAGAATCGATTCAAGGAAAGGGAGCGGATCAAATTCCTTGCATCAGGAGCTACTCAGCGGTTGAAGAAGTACATCAATGAATATTGGCTGTATTTTTCGACCTCCAGCTAAGGTCCTCTTCAGCTGAAGAAGGTCCTTATTCTTACTGTTTGTTGAGGGTCTTGGGCATGTACACATCAGCGCTTGTGATCCAGAAGATGAACCTTCAAACTGACAGCTGGTAACTGAGGAATTAACTCATCTTCTCCAGCTGGTAACGTAAGTACCGTATTTTCGGGCATATAAGGCGCGCCTTTTCCGACAAAAATTCTTGGAAAAATTACCCTGCGCCTTATATAAATAACACATAGTATGTGAGAT